TTTTGTGCACTAAAATGTCATCTACCCTGGAGAATGTTCATGTATCACTGAGAAGACTGAATATTCTACTGCTATGTACAATGTTCTGTGTATGTATGTTAGGTCCATTTAGTCTATAGTGTTATTCAATCCTGCTATTTTGAGGCTGGCTGGTTAGCTCAGTTGGTTAGAGTACAGCCTTTTACACTGAAGTCAAGGGTTTGGATCCCCTTACCAGCGAGACATACACAACAAAGAAAATACTGCAATTTCTTTGTTGACTTTTGTCTGATTTTTCTATCCATTACTGAAAGTGGAAAAGTAAAGTCTCCTACTATTATTGTATTGTTATCTATTTCTCCCTTCAGTACCTCTTGCTTTATATATTGCAGTGCTCTTATGTTGGTTGTATATATATTTATAATTGTTATATCCTGTTGATGTATTTCCCCCTTTATCATTATATAATGACCTAATTTGAGTCCAAAGAGGAAGGACAGAGCAAGATAGTCGATTTGAAGATCCTACCACTCATCTCTCCCACAAAAACAGACAAAACATTAAACAAACAAATATAATCAGATGAAAATAACTAAAGGAGAGTTCTGGACTACATCAGAGGTATAACAAAAATGCTACTGAACATGGAAATTCAGGATAGCCACACAGAGAATGGGAGGAAACACTCAACATCCACCACTCAATTCTCCAGCAAGGAGCAGCTGGGAACCAGGTGGAATTTCACTCCACAGGGAAAAGGTAAATAAGAGGACCCCAACAGCACTCATCAACACCTTGGTGACTTACAGTCCTCACCACTGGGGACCTCAGAAGTCCTCACAGGCATAAAGCACAGCTGAGAGAGCTGACTGGAGTCCACATAGTGTGCTCCCCCAGAGATACAGACACTCTTCCCCACTCTCTGTGGCCCATGCAGCTACTGCATTACACTGTCTTGGAACTGTACACACTACTCAAGGGTGTCTTACCCCAGGGCAAGTGGGGAGTGACACACCTTCATCCCAGAGGCTATTCCGCCATTGAAATGACTTCCCCAAGCCAAGCTGAGAGCAGCTTTATGCCCTACCCTTAGGGGCTTTGTTGTGGTGGTGCTGCTCCACTCACCCCTCCCAGATGCAGCTGTGCCCTTCCCGTTTAGGCCAGACCTAAAACTTAGCACTCCTTTGGGGAATCTTTAAATACCCTCCCAATGTGCTGTGCCCCACCCCCTGGGACTGAGCTGAAGTGGCATATCAGCCTCTGGGGAATTGCTGTCTGGGCTGTGAAGCTGCTTGGCTGAGCTGAGAAGCTGTGCAATCCATGGATAATCTGATGTAGTATCCTGTGTCCCAGGGAAACAGAGCCACAAACTAGATCCTGCTCAGACATGCTATAACAAGTTAGTACACATTTATTTTGGCACAAAAACACTTTGCAATCCATGTATAGTTTTCTCCTAATACACATTTTTCATGAACTTTTTGAAGACCCCTCATACACCAAAGATACATTTGCGCTCCCATATTTATTGCAGCACTATTCACAATAGCCAAGATATGGAATCAACCTGTGTCCATCAACATAGGAATGAATAAAAAAAAGGCAGAATATATACACAATGTAATACTATTTAGTCATTAAAAAAGAATGAAATTCTTTCATTCATGGCAACAAGGCTGAGCTTGGAGTATACTATGTCAATTGAAGTAAGCCAGGAAAAGAAAGAGAAATACCACCTGTTCTCACTCATATGTGGAAGCTAATAAAGTTGATCACATAGAAGTAGAGAGCAGAATGGCAGTTACCAGAGGCTGGAAAGTGTAGGGGGAAGGGATATAGTGAGAGGCTGGTTAAGGGATACAAAAGTACAGTTAGATAGGAGGAATAATATCTAGTGTTCTATAGCTCTATAAGATGACTATAATGAACAATAATTTATTGTATACTTTCAATTAGTTAGAAAAGAGGATTTTGAATGTTTTCTAAACAAAGAAATGATAGATGTTTGAGGTACTGGGAAAAATATCAGTGATTTCCAGGGTTTCAGGGAGGATGGAAGGAGGGAAGAAGAGATAAATAGGTGGAGCACGGAGAATTTTTAAGACAGTGAAACTTTTCTGTATGACACTGTAATGCTGAATACACGATGTTACGCATTTGGCAAAACCCTTCAACTGAACAACATGAAGAGGAAACCCTAATGTAAAACTGAGTTACTAATAATATATCAATATTTGTTTATAGTTGTATCAAATGTACCACACTAATGTAACATGCTCATAAAAGGAGAAACTGTACATGTCTGTGGAGAGGGTATGGGAACTTTCTGTATTTTCTGCTCAATTTTTCTGTAAACCTAAAACTGCTATAAAAATAAATTCTATTACCTAGGAAAAAAGGCAATGATGCAATTTCTTTCTTTCTTTTTTTTTTTACAGTTTTTAATTTAAAGTCTATTTTTTTTTTTTTTTTTGAAATAAGTATAGCCACCTCTGTTCTCTTTTGGTTACTATTTGCATATAATATCTTTTTCCATCCCTTCACTTTCAGCCTGTGTGTGTTCTCAATACTAAAGTGACTCTCTTATACATAGAATACACTTGGATCTCATTTTTGTATCAGTTCTATATGACTTTCTCTCTCTCCCCCTTCTGAGATTTCCATTATGCATTTATTGGTCTGCTTGCTGGTACACCATAAGTCCCTTAAGGTTTTTTTACTCTTTTTCATTCATTTTCCTTTTTTTCTCCTTTGACTGGATAATTTCCAATAACCTGCCTTTGAGATGATTTCTTTTGTTTGATCTAGTCTGCTGTTAAAACACCCCTAGTGAATTTTTCAGTTCAGTTAGTGTAGTTTTCAGCTCTATGATTTCTGGTAGGTACTTTTGATATTTTCTATCTCTTTATTAGAATTCTTCGTTCAGGCATCATTCTCCTGGCCTTGATGAGCATCTTTATGATGATTCTTTTGAATTCTCTGCCAAGTAAATCATATATCTCCATTTCATTAGGGTCAATTTTTAAAGATTTATTTGTTTGTAATAGTTTTCTTTGTTTCTTCATTTTCCTTCACTCTTTGTGTTGGTGTCTTCACATTAGACAAAACAGCCACTTTCTCCCAGACTTTTAGGACTGGCGTTATACAGAAGACCCTCACCAATCAGCCTGGCCAGAGACTCTGGAAGTCTCTCAAAACTTCATTTTAGTTCAAATCACTGTCTTTTTCTTTTCAGAGGCCCCTAAATCTCTTGAGTATGTGCAGTCTTGTCAGTGCTCTGAGACAGCCAAGACAAAAGGCAGTGCCTTGGAAAATTCCCAGAAAAACCAGAACATTGGATTCTGATCCCATGCTTTCCTATCCTTGCAGGGAGGAGCTGAAAGCTGGGGCTTTCCTCCCAATCATATGGCACTGTGTCAGGGGTAGGGCTTATGGTGACAGGGTATCTCGAATATTCCTACTGGTTTCAGTGTGGCAGGTTTTGTGCTCACCTAGGATGCAGGATCCTCTCAACTAGTTTCTGGATTTCTCATAAAGGGAATTGTTCTGTGTACTGTTGAATTGACATGTCTGTTGGGGGAAGAGGAGTTCAGGGTTTTCTATTTTGCCATCTTGCTGATGTCATCCCCTCAGCTCATGTTTCTGAGCTGTGGCATTTCATATGTAAAATGAATAATAATAGTTTATTAAAGGTATAATACAAGTATATATAAGATGTAAGTGGCAATACAGTTAAACTCTTGAGTTCCTGGGTCAAACTGACTATGTTCAAATTTAGCCCCTATGAATTAATAGCTGTGTGACCTTTGATTAGTTGGTTACTTAATCTGTTTGGTCCTGAATTTCCCCATCTGTAAAAATGTGGATAATAATAATAATAGCTCCCTCATCTGTCATTGTGGAGATTGACTTATATAATCCAAGTGAGGCTCCTGGAACACAGTGATCAATAAATATTAGCTGTAATACAGGAGACTATAGGAATATCAAAAGGAAAGAAGTTACTAGATGATTCAGTGGGGTTCAAAATAAATTCTTTAGTTAAGAAAGAAAAAGAAAAAAAGTAAAAGGACAAAAAAAGATGGCAACCACCAGTAAGCAAGAGAAGTTACCCTCCATTCTTCCCAGTAATATTGAAGAGGGAAACTATTATCCTACACCCACTACTTGAATATTTCAGGTGAATAGTAGGCTAAAGGTGCAATAGCTCTGGTAGATTCCTGAAGTTATGAAACAAATATATGAAAAACCTGATGTAGCCAGGGAAGTAGAAGCAGAAGGGGAAGATGACTAACCTGTGGCAAAAGTCTTATAACAATAAATCATTATTCCACATCTGCAGAATTCAAGATTTTAAAGATATATTATTATGCATTTTAAAGTATAGTTTTATACTTTAACTTGCTTTCTAAGAGGATTTTCTAAAGACTGCATAAACAGTATTTTCCATTAATTAAATCTCTTACTTATAATTGGTGGTAAATTCTCAAATTTAATTCTAATTTAATTTCCTCTCCTTCTTCCCGTCACACTTTCTTTTACACACACACACACGCATGCACAGACACACATGCGCGCACGCACACACACACACACACACACACCTTCTACATAAAAGAGACCAATATCCCCACAATCCACAATGTTTAACAAAAATACCTTTTAACAAATTGTAGTTAAGATTTTTTCCTTGTTTAAAGAAGTAAAAGCGTAAAAAATTAGTAAAAAATTTAGTAAAAATTTTAGTAAATTAGTAAAAATTTAGTAAAAAATTTTTCTAAAACTCTTAATAGGTTCTAAATATTTTCTTTGGAAATGTTTCTAAATAAATACTATATACCAAAACTATAACAAAATGATCACCTATTCCCTAACAAAAAATAAAATCCACTTAAAGCAAATTACTAATTTTCTTTTTGTGATATAACCACTTTGATTTTAATTATCTTCTTTTTGTGATAAAACCACTTTATTTTAATTGTCTTAATAATAAGCACAAAAATTTCAAACTAGTTTCTTACGTAACGTTACAATATTTTCAGGCTTCTCTCCAGATTGATTATTATCCACACTTTCAGGTTCCTCATTTGTATTACTTTTCTAGAAGCAAAAAGAAAAAAGAAAGAAAATATATTGAGGGAAATGTGTACAGAGCCAAAACATTTCCTCTACATAACTTCTATTAATACATTCCCACCCCTCACCCCCCAAATTTACAGAACACGAGAAGACAGGTTTGTGAGAAAGGCAATCCAAAGAACACTATTTTAAACATTGGTATACCCTAGCTAAGAGTCGATGTTCCAGCGAGAGGATATTCAAGAAGGATAAGAGTATTTGAATGATGAAGGTATGAGAGATAAAGATTACAAGACAAATTACAAGATATTGTAACTTCATGTATGAGATGATACTCCCGAGAAACAGATTACTTTTTTACTGGAATACATTATGGCCTGTGACTTAAAAAGTGATATGTATCTTTACAAAAGTCCAAGGAGAATTATAAGACAGTGATCACTGGGCTCTTATAAAATATTGATCTTTCGGGCTGACCCCGTGGCGCACTCGGGAGAATGCAGCACTGGGAGCACAGTGGTGCTCCTGCCGCGGGTTCAGATCCTATATAGGGATGGCCAGTGCGCTCACTGGCTGAGCGCGGTGTGGGCGACACCAAGCCAAGGGTTGTGATCCCCTTACCGGTCACAAAAAAGGACAAAAAAAAAAAAAAAAATAGGGCTGAGCCCGTGGCGCACTCGGGAGAGTGCGGTGCTGGGAGCGTAGCAGCGCTCCTGCCGCGGGTTCGGATCCTATATAGGGATGACTGGTTTGCTCACAGCGCTCACTGGCTGAGCGCGGTGCAGCCGGTCTCAAAAAGGACAAAAATAAATAAATAAATAAATATAAAATAAAATATTGATCTTTCAATAAGAAGCCAAAGTTCATAGTCCCTTTAATGAAGAGCCCCTCCAAATTTCCCTAAAATACTAATTCTGTATTAGTAAATATCAATCTATTTAACCTACAGCAGCACAACTCTGCCCAATTATCATAGAAGCATTGAAAAACATAAAAAAAAATCAATATATTATGCGTACCATTCCAGGGCCGTGATCTTAATCAATATTTTATCTATCCACTGCAATAGCTATCAATCATTTATCCCCATGTCAAAATGTATAGGCTAGATTGTATTTCTAAATATTAAACCTTACTCATATATCTGATAATGGTCTAGTATTCAGATTATATAAATAACTTTCATGGCTAGCCAATTAGCTCACTTGGGAGAGTGTGGTGCTAGAAAAACCAAGGTCAAGCATTCAGAACCCTGTAGCAGCCAACAGCCAGGAAAAAAAAAAAAAAAGAACTCTCACAACAAACAATAAAATAACAAATAACCCAATTTAAAAATTGTCAATGGATTTGAATAAATATAAGTATTTGTCCAAAGAAGTTATACAAATGGCCAGTAAACACACAAAAAGATGCTCATATCATTAGTCACTAGGGAAACGCAAATCAAAACTACAAGGAGACACCACTTCAAATTCACTAGGATGGCTATAACAATAATAATGATGATGGTGGTGGTGATAGTGGAAAATAACAAGTGTTGGTGAGGATTAGGAACTCTCACACACTGCTGGCTGGAATGTAAGATGATGCAACTGCTATGAAAAACAGCTTGACCGTTCCTCATAAGTTTAAAGAGGAAATTACCATATGATCCAATCTTCCCTCCTAGGTATATACCCAAGAGAATTAAAAACATATGTTCAGGGCCGGCCCGGTGGCGCACTGGAGAAGTGCGCCGGTTGGGAGCGCGGTGGCGCTCCCGCCGAGGGTTCGGATCCCATGTGGAGACTGGTTCCCGCTCACTGGCTGAGTGCGGTGCGGGCGCAACACCGAGGGTTGCGATCCCGTTGCCGGTCCCCGGTACGGGCATGACACCGAGGGTTGCGATCCCGTTACCGGTCAGTAAAAAAGACAAAAAGGAAAAAAAAACACAAAACATATGGTCACATAAAAATTTGCACGAGTTTTCATAGCAGCATTATTCATATTGGTTTAAAAGTAGAAACATCCAAACGTTCATCAGCTGATGGGGCCAGCCCAGTGGTGCACTGGAGAGTGCACCGCTTGGGAGCGCGGCGGCACTCCCACCGAGGGTTCGGATCCCATGTGGAGACTGGTTCCCGCTCACTGGCTGAGTGCGGTGCGGGCGCAACACCGAGGGTTGCGATCCCGTTGCCGGTCCCCGGTACGGGCATGACACCGAGGGTTGCGATCCCGTTACCGGTCAGTAAAAAAGACAAAAAGGAAAAAAAAACACAAAACATATGGTCACATAAAAATTTGCACGAGTTTTCATAGCAGCATTATTCATATTGGTTTAAAAGTAGAAACATCCAAACGTTCATCAGCTGATGAATGCATAAGCAAACATAATACATACATACAATAAATGTTATTTGGAAATAAAAAGAAATGAAGTACTGATACATGCTACAACACAGAAGAACCTTGAAAACATTATGGTAAGTTAAAAATGCAAGTTACAAAGGACGATGTATTGTATTCCATTTATATGAAATGTCTAGAATAGGCAAGTCTATGGAGACAGAAAGTAGATTAGTTGTTGCCTAGGGCTGGGGGGTGATGAAAGGACTGGGGGAATGTTGGCTAAAGGGTGTGTGGGTTGCTTTTTGGGGCAATGAAAACGTTCTAAAATTGCCCATGGTGATGGATACATAGCTCAATGAGTACACTAAAGGCCACGGAATCGTACACTTTAAATGGATCAATTGTATGACATGTGAATCATATCTAAATAAAGCTGTTAAAAAATTAAACCTTATAAATTATCAGTCAGTGTTTATTGAATGACACATAATCAAAATAGGAAAATGCATGAACCATAAATAGCATCTTATATATCAAGAACCAAAAAGCAATATCTGATTACCACTCTTAATTATCATAATCTTTCTTAATACAAAATACAGACACTCACTTTATTGCACTTTGCTTTATTGTGCTCTGCAGATATTACGTTTTTTACAAACTGAAGGTGTGTGGCAACCGTGTGTTGAGCAAGTCTATCGGTGCCATTTTTCCAATAGCACATGTTTACTTCATGTCCCTGTGTCACATTTTGGTAACTGTCGCAATATTTCAAACTTTTTCATTATTATTGTATTTGTCTTGATGATCTCTGATCAGTGATCCTTGATGTTACTATTTTAGTTGTTTTGGGGTGCCACAAGCCATGCCCATGTAAGATGGCAAAATTAATAAATACATGTTGTATGTGTTCTGACTGCTCCACTCTCTCTCTCTTCAGACCTCCCTAGCCTCTGAGACAAAACAATACTGAAATTAAGCCAATTCATAACCCTACAATGGTCTCTAAGTGTTCAATGAAAGGAAGAGTCACACATCTCTCACTTTAAATCAAAAGCTGGATGTGATTAATCTTAGTGATGAAGGCATGTTGAAAGCAAAGATAAGCTGAAATCTAGTCCTCTTGCACCAAACCATTAGCCAAGCTGTGAATCCAAATGAAAAGTTCTTGGAGGAAATATAATGTGCTATTCCAGTGAACACATGAACAATAAGAAAGCACAGCAGTCTTATTGCTGATGTGTAGAAAGTTTTAGTGGTTTGAATAGAAGATCAAACCAGCCACAATATTTATTCCCTTAAGTCAAAGCCTATCTTTGGCAAGGCCCTAACTTTGTTCAATTCTATGAAGGTTGAGATAACTGAGGAAGTTGCAGAAGAAAAGTAGGAAGCTAGCAGAGGTTGGATCATGAGGTTGAAGGAAAGAAGCCATCTCCATAACATAAAAGTGCAAGATGAAGCAGCAAGTGCTGATGTAGAAGCTGCAGCAAGTTATCCAGAAGATCTAGCCAAGATAATTGATGAAGATGGCTACACTAAACAACAGATTTTAAATGTAGACAAAACAGCCTTCTTTTGGAAGTCATCTAGGACTTTCATAGTTAGAGAGAAGTCCGATGCCTAGCCTTCAAAGATTCAAAGGGCAGGATGATTTTCTTGTTAGAGGCTAATGCAGCTGCTGACTTAAAGTTGAAGCCAATGCTCATTTACCATTCCAAAAATCATAGGGCCCTTAAGAATTATGCTAAATCTACTCTGCCTATGCTCTATAAATGGAAAAACAAAACCTGGATGACAGCATATCTGTTTACAGCATGGTTTACTGAATATTGAAACCTAACTCCTCAGAAAAAAGGCTACTTTCAAAATATTATTGCTCATTGACAATGCAGCTGGTTACCCAAGAGCTCTGATGAAGATGTACAAGGAGATTAATGTGTGTTCATGCCTGCTAACACAACATCCATTCTGCAGCCTATGGATCAAGGAGTCATTTTGACTTTCAAGTCTTATTATGCAAGAAATACATTTTGTAAGGCTGTAGCTGCCATAGATAGTGACTCCTCTAATGGAGCTGGGAAAAATCAATTGAGACATCCTCTAGAAAAGATTTACCATTCTAGATGCCATTAAGAACATTTGTGATTTCATAGGAGGAGGTCAAAATATCCACATTAACAGGAATTTGGAAGAAGTTGATTCCAACCTTCATGAGGGGTTCACGACTTCAGTGGAGGAAGTAACTGAGATGTGATAGAAATAACAAGAGAACTAGAATTAGAAGGGGAACCTGAAAGGGTGACTGAATTGCTGCAATCTCATAATAAAACTTGAACGGATGAGGAGTTGCTTCTTATGGACGAGCAAAGAAAGTGGTTTCTTGAGATGAAATCTATTTCTGGTAAAGATGCTGTGAGCTTTGTTGAAATGACAACAAAGAATATAGACTATTCCATAAACTTAGTTGATAAAGCAGAGGCAGAGTTTGATAGGATTGACTCCAATTTAGAAAGAAGTTCTACCATAGGTAATATGTTATCAAACAGCGTCACATGCTATGAAGTAATCTTTCAAGAAAGAAAGAATCAATTGATATGGCAAACTTTATTGTTGTTTCCTTTCAAGTCATTACCAGTCACCCCAACCTTCAGCAATCACCACCCTGATCAGTCAATAGCCATCAACATCAAGGTAAGATCCTTCACCAGAAAAAAGATAACGACTCACTGAAGTCTTAGATAATCATTAGCGTTTTTTAGCAATAAAGTATTTTTGCGGGGGAGGTTGCTGCTGGCCAGCACGGGGATCTGAACCCTTTACGTTGGTATTATCAGCACAGTGCTCTAACCAACTTACCTAACTGGCCAGCCCACAATAAAGCATTTTTTTTTAATGAAGGTACATACATTGCTTTTTTAGACATTAACATTATTACATGGGGCCGAGCCCGTGGCGTACTCAGAAGAGTGTGGCGCTGGGAGCGTAGCGATGCCCCCGCCACGGGTTCGGATCCTATACAGGACTGGCTGGTGCATGCGCTCGCTGGCTGAGCGCGGTGTGGGTGACACCACACCAGGGGTTGCGATCCCCTTACCGGTCACGAAAAAAGACAAAACAAAAACAAAAACATTATTACATGGTGATAGACTATAGTGTAAACATAACTTTTATATGGATTGCAAAACCAAAAAATTTTGTATGACTCACTTTATTGCGATATTCACTTTATTGTAGTGGTCTAGAACTGAACCTTCAGGATCTCCAAGGTATGCCTGTATTAAAAGCTATATATGGAAAAATATATTATGTCAATTACCTTAGAATCTTTATGTTCCAATTTTGGGTTAAGAATATTTTCTAAATAGCCAGCTTTTTCTATCCATGTACTCAGATTTCTATATTCTTTTTTCATTTTTTCCAGCCTAAATAAATAAATTAGTTATAGATGAAAAAAACAAGTGACAGAAGAATATACATAGTATGATTCACAGAATACATATAGTATGATCCACTTATAAAAAGTTCTAAAAGAGACAAATCTATAATATATTATCTAGGGTTACAGTCAAAGGAAAGGGAATGATTACAACAAAAATCGGGGTAGGAATTAATTGTGGATGATTAGAGAGAGGGATGCAATCTCATATGGGCACACAAAACACATTCCTAATATTAGTGGTGCCGTATTTCTTAATCTGAATTATAAATATCTATGCAATGGCCTTATTATCATTATTTGAGCTACATATATGTTTTAGAAATTATTAATATGCATTAGTCTTAGTATTTAAACTATATGCCTTAGTTTGAGCTACTATAACAGAATACCATAGACTGGGTGGCTTAAACAACAGACATTTATTTCTCACAGTTCTGGAGGCCTGAAAGTCCAAGATCAAGATGGCAGCAAATCAGTGTCTGGCAAGGATACTCTTTCTAGTTTGTAGATGGGCATCTTCTTGTACTCTCACATAGTAGAGAGAGACTGATCTCGTGTCTCTTGCTCTTCTTATAATGGCATTAATGCCATCTTGAAGACCTTACTCTCATGACTTAACCTATCCCTTATTGTCTCCCCCAAAGTATTTCCAGATACTGTCACATTAGGGATTAGGGTTTTAACATATGAATATGGGGGAGGGGGTTTACAAACATACATATTTTATAAATAATCCTAGACATATATGACATCCACAATGAGAGAAATGAAAAAAAGGAATTTAGCTTTTAATCCAAGAAACTTCAAAAGCCTTGATTAATTGAAAGATGTAATTAACAAGAACTAAATGGAAAACAGGGAATGTTTCACAAATAAAACCTGACATGAACATTACAAAATAAGGAAAATTACAGTCTTATTTCATTCATGAACATAGATACAAGTGTTATCAATAAAATATAATTTTAGTACAAAAACTCCAGTAGTGCAGAGAAAAGATAAACAAGCTTGGTTTATCCCAGGAAATGACACTAATAAAGACATTAACTTAGAAAATATAATTTAAATACAACTTAACTGATTAAAAGCATTTGCCAAACTACAACACCCATTTACGATTAAAAAAAAAAACCTCTTACAAAACATGAAACAGAATGAAATTTACTTAACCTGATACAGCCTATCTACAAAAAAAAAAAAAAAAAAAACCTATGTAAATAATGGTCTTGAATGTTAAGTGTTAGATGAATTGCTTTTAAAGATTATGAACAAAACAAAGATGTTCACTTGCCATTTTCACTGTATGTTGACTGGAGCTTCTAGCTAACATAGTAAGACAAGAAAATAAAATTAAAGAGCAAGAATTGGGAATACAGAAAAAAAATGGTTGTTATTTATAGATGACCAGGTGAGTGCAAAGGACTCATGATACAATCTAAAAGGACTGGAGCGATCTGACCACTGCGAACACTCAAAAGTGACCAGCCAATTCCCTATTCCAAGAAAGTGTCCCAGAAAATCTTAGAAAGAAATCCATTATATACATATTTTTAACACCAAATGAAAACATCAGAAGTGAGAGTTCTGTAAAGCTAGAAAAACTTTCTAAACCAAGTCTCCAACAAAAAAATTTAAGAAAATTAACTTCACATTAAATTGAGCAACAGAGCACTAACCAGGCCAAATTCCAAATGAATTAGTTATAAGAAAAAAAGAGACTAAAGAGCAGAATAACATCCCTAGGCCGTGAAAGCACAATAGAAAGACACAATTATAAGAAAGAAAGAAATCAAAACTATAGCCTTTTCTTCAAAATGAACTATAAAACATTAAGAAAATGATACAAGGTATGAAAAAACAACATAACTCGATTTAGAAAAATTCAAAAATAAGCTGAACTCAAAAGATAATTAGAAATTAAAAAGAAAAATTATTTTAGAAATGAAGAGTAAACTCAAAGAAATAGAGGTGAATGAACACAACAAATAATACCTTAAGAGAAATAAAAGATGAAAAAGATGGAATTTAATGGAGAGAGAATAATGATTCAAGAGAAGGTGGCAGATATTGGAGACAGGCAAAGAAGGTTCAACATATGAATAATAAGAGTCCCTGAGGAAGAAAATCAAAGCAAGGAAACAGAATAAATTCAAGAAAACTTTTCTGTAATAGAAAAAAACATTGAAACTACATAGCAAAATATCAATCACTACGTTCCTAAGATCCCCCAAAATGATAAACTACAAGACACATTTAGTAAAAATATTAGACAAAGTGTTAGGCATCCAGTCAAAAAAGAGGAGCACATGACTTAATGAGAAAGAAAATTTGATTATCATCTGACTTTTCTATATCAATGCCTATTCAAGCAGAAATGAAGTAACATATTTAAGATACTCAAGGGAAGAAAATGTCAGCCAAGGATTTTATACCAAGTATAAAAAACAAACTGATATCCATATACAAGAATTTAGGGAATATTGTTCCCATGAGCAGTATACTAGAGAATTAGTCTTAGACAACAAAAATAACTAAAGAGAAGTTTGACAAAATATAGACACATGCATATACACATAGGTGTAGAACTAAAACTAAATAGGGGTTAAAAGGGAGAGAGTATAGTATGTAAGGGTTATCTGCTCTGACAATGTATCTAGTACCATAAAAAGGGGAAAATGAGAACAACTATATGCAAAAATTATTTAACCATTTTCAGTAATTATAATTGGTGATGGTTGTATGCATTAGTACTGTTTTCCTGAGACTGCTGAATGAGTAATGGGGGGTGGGCAAATGAAAAATTACTGGACGCTTTATTTCTATCACCCACTGTGTCCTTGAGAACTGGGCTTCTCAGTGTGGAAGAATGAGAAGTAAATAAATGTAATATAGAAGACAGTAAAATTCTGTAGTCCCTAAATTGAATTAGAAATATCAGGATAAAGGCTTCAGGTCAAGATGACAAAATACAGTCCCCAGTATCACTCTCTCCCACAAATCAACTAATTTACAACTATTAAAAAGCAATGACAGCCAAGCTGGGGCCACTATAGCTCAGGGGAAGAGGAGGAGACACCTATAGAGTGCATGAAGGTGGGAGAAGCCTCAAGATGAGAGAAAGAAAAAACTGCTCCGATTGTTTGGTGCTGTGGCTGCTTTAAGGCTGGAGCTGCTGAGTGCATGGAGCCGGAGCCAGCAAAAAGTGGCAGCTGTGTGTTTCAGATGAAGTTGCTTGGAGGCAGCAGAGGAGAAGAGGGCCTTGGTGACCCCCAGGCCAGCAGTACAACCAACATGGTTTCTGTGGACCTACATAGGCCTGAGAAGCTACAACAAATGAAAAAAAAGGAGCCACTCAGAGGCCAGTTGAGTCATCGCAAGGGACCAGTACAAGGCCCATCCCATGGGAAGTGTTTGGAGCATGGGTGGTGGGGGAGATGGGCCCACCAGGGGAACGCTGGGGCACAGCAAGGACAGCTAATCTGCCCCCCAATCAGTGCAGGACCAAAGAGGAGACTGGTCAGGAATAGAGAATTGCATGGGGTGCAGTTTGATGAAGAGATTCAGGCCCAGACCAGAGTTTCTATACAACCCAGGTGCATCAGATTTCACCAGATCCAGAAGTACCTATAAAGTCAACTATTAAAACGTGACCTGCACAAAAAGCCTTCCCTAGGGAATCAGCAGCAAAGCAGCTAAAAAACCAGCTACTGGCCCCCACAGGAAGTTCTCCCATTTTAGAAGTAAGCAAAGGACAACAAATTAGTTCCAATGCAGAGTTTAAGTGGTGGGAACAGCAAATAATCCAACACAGAACTGAAAGAGAAAACAAAGTACCCACAACCAGAGACAAAGTTTGATAACTAATAAAGGTCTCATTTCACCAAAGAACACCTATAATGCCTAGAAGGACCAGAAGTCCCCCGGGCTACCAAGCGAGGAAGCAGGGAGGGCTGGGGACCTCAGCCATGTCCCCTGACACCCACAACCAGTCCCAAGGATGGGGGCCTCCGGCCTTGGCCACGCTCCCCAAGTGCAACCACCCAAGTGATGACCACCAAGCCATCACAGGAAAAGCCCCAGGCTCACCAGAGCCAGGGCAGCAGGGGTCCAAGGGCGTCATCCATGCCCCACCCCTACATGAGCAACCAGCCCAGTGGCGACCACTGAGCCACCAAGGAAAAGCCCCAGGCTCTCCCGAGCTGGGGCAGCAGGGGGCCAAGGGCCTCATCCATGCCCTCCACAAGAGCAACCAGCCCAGCAGCGACCACTAAGCCACTGCAGGAGGCGCCCCAGGCTCACCTGAGCTGGGGGGGGGGTCCCGAGGACTTCATCCACAACCGCCCTGCATGAGCAACCAACCCAGTGATGACCACCAAGGTGCCGCAGGAGGTGCCCCAGGCTCTCCTAAGCCAGGACAGTGGGAGGCCAAGGGTTTCAACCACACCCCTCCCCACACTCAACCAGCCCAGTGACAACCAGCAAGCCTCAGCAAGAAGGGCCCTGAGTTTCTGAGCTGGGGTGGTGGGGGTGAGGGCTTACACCCCCTTGACATCTGCACCCAGCCTGGCAATAACCAAGCTATTTCTGGAAGCCCACCGGTCTCCCCTGTGGGAATGTGGGGGGTGCCACAGGCCTCAATCCCACCCCTCCTCCTTCCTCCTTCTTCCATCCCATTTCCTTCCCCTTTCTCCTCTCCCTCTCCCTCCCAACTTCTCTACAACATCATAGAATGTAAAAAAGTAATATTAATAAAATAAAAAATAAAAAATTTAAAAAAAACTTCAAAAAAAAGAAAGATGAAGTAAATTGAAGAAATGTTGCAATTCTTAATTAATTTCTAAAACTCCAAATTCATTGCTTTATAAAAACATTATTAAATTTTTATAAACTTGTTTGAAGTCCAAATAAAAAATAATGTAAATTAGAAAAAAAAAGAAAGAAAGAAAGAAAGAAATATCAGGATAACAGGGTCCAGAGGCATGG